CGCATCACCCCTCCCCCCCGCGTCAAAGATAATGCATTGATTGTAGAAGCGATTGACAAAGAAGTGCCATTGGCCGCCGTCCATTGTCGTCACCATCTCCAGAGTATTTCTGTTACCACGAGCACAGCACGTAAACTTGTATCCACACAAAGATGGTACCCCGTCCCTGCCCGGTGCTTCAAAACGTCACACACACACTCGCTCACGCATAGCGTCCCCCCCCACGGGGTCCCAGATCATGGCCATTACAAGCACCTTGTGTTTTCAACCGCGCTGAGACTGGCGTCGTTTCATGCGTTAACGCGGTCGATGCAAATAACAAAAAAAAACGCGCGCCACCGCCATCAACAAATAGATACAAACAACACACCGCGGGACGCCAAGGCGTTCAGTAGTCACCGTCATCGTCGTCGTCGTCGTCATCTGAACCCCGTCTCCCGGCGCTCTTAACCCCCCTCCTCATCTTGATGCTGTTGGCCCCCCTCCCCTTTGCCCGAGCGGGGTTTTCGTCCATCTCCGTCTCCACGATGCCCTGGGACGCCAGGTACCACTCGAGGTCGTCCGCCTCCATCTGTTACATCGTGTGTGCGCGCGCAAGTGTGTGAGTGCGCGAACACACGGGCATGCGTATCGTTTGCCCCACCCTCTCTGGTTGAAATGCTAACACAAGCCCGAGATATCCATGGGGATGGAAACCAAGAGATGGGGAAAGAGACTAAACATGGCACGTCCGAGCTTTGGCGACCGTGCCCGTACCATCAGCGGAGCCGGTGTTTCCGTATTTCAGTTTGCCAAGCGACGTGGAACGGGAAAATGTCCTGGATGAGACCGGAAAGGACATCCCACCAAAAAAAGAACGCGTGACTTTGCACGGGAGTACAATAAAACACTCCGAGGAGCCCTGAAAACTAGAAGTACTTCAGCCCACCTTTCGCTGCTCTACTGTTTTCGGAAGGTACAATGCCACAGTGAAGTGGGGATGGGTGAAACAAAAATGTAAAAAAATAAACGCTTCCAATGGTTCGCCGAGGCACGCGGGGTAACACACACAGGCAAAGAAGATGCAGCAAAGAACTGTGTCTTTCGCCGGAAATAGCGCGCCAAGTTTTAGACGTACCTGCTTTCCCCCCAAAGCGTCAATCCTGATAAGCTGCGTAGCCAGCGCTCCGTCGCGGTATCTGTCCAGAAAAGAAAAATAACGGAAGGGGGCAATGCACATGATTGTTCGTATCCCTTCGTCAGAGCACAACCGTAAGCTCGAATTTGATTTGAATGAAAAATCGGACGCACACCGACGACAGCAAGAAGACGCTGCGCCGTCAAAACAGCATGGTGGCAAACAAGGTCAAGAACATTGCCACTTGTTTGAGCACAAACGGTCGCACACGGGGCACGCAAGCATGAGGAACACAAGCCAAGGTAGGCTCCGAGCTTTAGAAAGGAACGCAGTGAGGCTCTGGTGCATCTGACCCTTGAGCAGGACAAGACGCTTGAAGGTAGTTTTGATCAAGAAACCGTTTCACACACACATCTCAGGTGCGGCACCCCTGTTTGGAAACATCCTACCGACGGACGCATCCTACCACCGAGTCGCGCATTGCTCGTATCGGTCGGTCCCGCTGCTTCCTTTGGGGGTGCCGTTGTGACGAGTGAACATCAGACATGCTTCTCTATTCAGGAAGTCAAACCAAACGCCTGTTGTTTGTGTTTGTTTGCTCTGTGGAATTTTCACATGGGCTAGCACGGCCAACCCTATCAGGACAACACTCCATCAACCGTAACACCCGCAGAGACGCCGCCACTCCTACACGCCGGCCAAGACCAACACCAGGAGCAGCAAACGAAAAGAGACGCACATGAAAAGCGTGGGGAGATTTGCCTCGGGCCAGTTCTCCACCGCTTGCTGGCTCCTGATCTTGACGAACTTCACCTCTCGGAACTTTCTCGCGATCGACCTCAGGGCAGCCTGACGTGTCATCAGCGTACGGGAGGGAAGGTGTGTTACAACAACCATCGGGTGGTAACGTGATTCGTACTGACATGCCATGAAGACCATGTAAATCTGAATTCACACTGAGCTGTTCGTGCGTGATCGACTTGTCGTGGAGTGTCGTCCAAGTTCCGTTCGCGCGAACACACAAGTATCTTGCGTCTTTTTCGTTACATAGTTCGCCTGTGGTGCTCTCGTTTGCTCTCGTTCAGAGCTCGCAGAGTCCGAACACCTGGTACGTTTCGGTGTAGGCCATGTGCGATCGGTGCGTTTTCGGAGGATAATGCTCATGCTTGGTGGGGCCCCAAAACGTTTGGGCTGACCTTGTGAGTACCACGACCGGCGGAGTCGCGACGACTTGCGTAACAACAACCGGTGCTAACTGCATAGTTAGCAAGTTGTTCAAAATGTAGCTACAGTGAGGGTTCCAGAAAAAGGCGGTCTGAGTAAGGTGGTCGCCCTACGTAAGGCGGGTGAAATCGGCCAGCGTGAACGGAATAATCAAGCTATTCCGCAAGTAGAATAAGGCGGCTGCCCCATTTGTAAAGGTGGCCATTATCAGCTGCCCCAGCACCGCCATAATCGAGGTGACGCAAGCGTACCTCCATGACTCTGCACTCGACAACGCCGTCCTCATACAGGTGCGCCACCACGCACACGCTCTTGCTGGCGTCCGTCACCTCCCGAACCCAGTCCGCCTTGGAGATTTCGAACAACTCCCCGAACTTTGCCGCCGCCGCCTTTGCCTTCATCTCGGCCACACGCTGCGCCCTGGGTTCAGGTTACGAGTACCGAAACATTTGCTTGATTTTTCGCGTGTCTTGGTGGGGGAGTGTACTTATTGTCACAGTCTTTTTATTCGGCCTAGATGATCGCCGTCGTTTCAACCTCGCTACAGTATGAAGACTTGGTGTCGGTTGACCGAACCGTCAACGCATAAGACAGGAGGCGGAAGCATCCGCGAAGCGCCAGCGCCAGCGCGCGGAGGAAGCAGAGACGGAGAGCACGGCCGCCCCGGGCCCGAAGAGAAAGAGAATCGGGGAAGCGGCGGGGGGGGGGAAGAAACGGCGACCGGACACTGCTGTAGAAGCGAGTAGGGCGGCCAAGGCCGCGCTTGCGGCGAACGACGTACCCAACTGATGATGTTGTCGCACCCTGTGTTCCCTTTTCCCTGCCGTAAGCTGTATGCTCTTAGTATTGCCTCCGGCCTCTCTTTGTGCTTTTCTTCTTTCTTTCTTTCTTGTTCTCCATGCCCTCTCTACGATGATCTTGGACGATACCTCGAGCTCCTTGTTATTTTTGTTTTTTCCTTTGCTGGCTGCCTGCCACCTCTGCTGCCTCTTTGGTGCGGTGCCTACCCTACACTAATGCGCTGGTGCATACTGCACTGCTGTAGTACCTGGTACTGGTGTACGTTGTCCTTCGATTTTTTATTTTTTTTGTGGGAATATATATGTGTTTGTTTTTCGCCCCCCGTCTTGCTGCACCCCCTGGGGTGTGGTGCAGGGAGGGGGATGCCTGGTCGGCGGGAACCCGGCACGGAACCCTCCGGCGTTGTAGGCGGGTGTGGGAAGCGTTCCCCGTTCTCCTTTTATTTTATTTTGATCGGTCTCCTCGACGCTCTTTCTCGTTTGGTGCGGTAGCTGGTCTTTCTTTCTATCATTTTGTTTCTCTTCCGAGTGGTTTTTGTACCCTATTTTTTTCTGTTTCTTCGTGGGGTCGTGTATGCCGGGTTTTGAGACCACGGGCTCCCAATTTTGTTTTGTAGAGCTAATGTGAGAAACAACAACAACAACAACAACTGCGGCGCTCCGTTTTCAGTTTTTTGTCGCCAAAGGTTCACAACCTTTGCGATGCTTTCCAAACGCCTTGGAGCAGCTCTGACTTGATCAAACGACATGCAGGAACCAACTGCAAAGAAAGGGGGACGGCGTGGCATACACCATTGTCGTTGCCAAATAAAACCAAGTACACAAACGAGCACAACAAAACGACACCACCACCACCACCACCACCACCACCACCACCACAACAACAACAACAACGATAGCAACAACGACAACAACAACAACAACAACAACAACAACAATATAATAATGAACACAACACCACCAATAACGACGACGATAACATCACAGGAAATGTGAGTTGCCTTCGCCTCACCGGTACTTCTCTAGCATTCCATCGTCCGCCAGCTCGTCCTCCAGCTCGTCCAGTTCCTCCAGGCTGGCTTCGGCCATGTCGTCCTCGATCGTACGGGCGTTTAGCCGCTCTACCTCTGCCTCCCTGGCCTTGCCCTGGGTTTACACGCATTGGCCGTTAGCTCGCGTGTGTGTGTGCAATAGAAGCACTTTCAAAAGTGTTGCCCTTGCGAACCTCTGCCCCCCTCGCCTTCGTGTGTGCGGGCATGGACGAACCGGGACTGGAACTCATTGGCAGCAGCAGCAGCTGCACTACCACCGACTCAAATAGCCCAAGCAGCAGCAGCAGCGAAAACAACCACAACAAAGGATGACGGCAATGAAAATCACTGGCAGCACCACCACCGTCCCGCCGAAAGCACAGAGGGACCGGAGCGACCCACTCACAATGGCCTCTTCCAGACGCTGCTCGTCGGGGTCGATGCCCTTGCCTCGCAGCACGTCATCCTTCTCGACGATTCCCTTCTTGATCAAGATGTCCTGGAAGATCAGAGAGAAACATCATTGGCATGGGCAATTTCCTCGTATAAGTTGTCAGTAGGCGTGACACGACGTGAAACAGAAACGCCCTACAAGCGCAGCAAGAGAAGAAACGGGAGCAAGATTACTGCTGTATGTAGGTGCCAACATGCGCACGGAGTACCAGGACAACGGTGCACAATTTCATGTGTACGGAGTGCCCTTTTGTCACCCTCCAGACCCCTTGGACCGCTGTATTCCAACGCCGATACGAACTTGTGTGCCCGCCTCCTCTACCGTTTGCTGCCGGTGTTGTACACGGGAGGGATGGATGTACGATGGGGCTTACAGCAGTACAGCAGTTGTGGTCTACAACAGTTCAGCCTTGCCGCTGGCTTTCGACCCCCTCACAGCCTCGTGCCGACGACGCAACAGAAAAATTAAAAACTAGACTATGTACGTGATGCTATGTGAACTAGACGCTACACTTCCATATAGCACACAAGGCGTGGCTGAGAGAGGCAATACCAACGGCTGCATGCTGTGCTGATCACCACTAGCCACGCCGGGGTGTCCATCTCTGTCGGTAAGGACAGCAGTGGTGCCGCTTGGACAAACCAAAGATGGCTGCTGCTGTACTGCGTGGAACGAACTTTCCCAAATCAGTGTGAGGAGAAAGCAAAGACTGCTGTGCCAACACCGCGAGGGGGTCACCACGGAGACACGCCAAAGGCATATAAGCACTTGAGACAGCGAGCGCTGGGAGAGAAGGAGAGCGCAAGAGAGAACAAAAACAACAGAGCCGGCGTGAAATGCGGTGTGACGTCGCCAACCACCTCCGTCCGCTCCCATATCAGCACGTGACACCAACAACGAACCCACCTCCCATTCAGTAGTCTCGCCCTTGGACTGATAATGCACCGATCCACGCTCTGCCATGGTTCACCGATGCTATACTAGTGGGAGAGTCAGTGGCGCCAGAACGAGAGTTGCTGCTGCGGCGGCTCGCGAAGCTGCTCGTGGAGAGAGCTGACAGTGCCATAGACACGCCCAAACGCCGTACCCGGGGTACGGGGTTGTGACGGGGCCCAGAAAAAATTCTTCGATGACCGTTCTTATTTCTTGTCGAAAAAATGACCATTCTGTTTCCCGCCAAAACTATGTAGCACTCCATGTCTAAAACCTATATATCCCTGTAGGTTCAAGGTTTCCCGCAATGCATTGGCGAAATTTTTCCCGCCATTTTTTGCCTGGCGTCTCGCTGGTTGTTCCAAAACCCTTGTTCACTCACTCCCGAGACACACCTCACATCATCTGCAACCACCACAACCAGCAAACAGGAGAGCGAGAGTGCGCAGCAAACAGCAGCACACCCCCAACCCTGCACATACACGCGCGCGCGCCCTGCAAGAGAGAGAGAGAGAGAGAGAGAGAGAGAGAGAGAGAGAGAGATGACGTCCTGGTTCACCAACGGCTGGCTGCGTCTCGGTTCCAAGAAGCGGGGGCAGCAGCTGGGGAGCAAAGACGAAAATGACAAGGAGAACGAGGGATGGTATCCCACCAACAAGAAAGGTACGTGTGTGTGTTTGCCGCACGTCCGTGTTAGCGCGTGAGCTGGGATTCGTGGGGCAAGGACATCTCGGGAAGGGCGGGGGGGGGGTTGGCTTAGCTGCTGCGTTCGGTGGACCTCGTCGTCCAGAATATAGATAAATATCCACAATGGGGGTCTATTCAGGTTACGACGCCGAATCAAGTGCCCGTGAGGTTGCTTGATGTGTAGCGCGGGAGGAGGGGGCCCGCACACACACCTCACTCGCGCCCTTTTGACCCCAGAGCAAAATCGATGTGAAGGGAGCAAAGTCCGCAACCCCTACCGTTGTCGCCCTCCCGCACTGCAAAGGCGAGCGGGATCTGGCATGCCTCCGCTGCTTCTTTGAGTTGATGCTTTTTTTCCGAGTTGAGGTGACACGTCATGTGCTTGTGCGAAAAAAATCGCTTTTGTTGTGAGAAAGCGAGCTCTGTCCCTCTCGCTGTTTGTGTCTACTTGACTGCGTGCCTCTCCCCGCCCCTGCCAACACCTCCGCGCTTCTTCCTCCCCCCCGCCCGCCTGCGCGCGCAGCCAAGAAGACGGTCAAGTCGGCCTTCGCGGGAGCAAAGCCGTCCAACCAGGGCTCGTGGCTGCTCTGCCAGGACAGGGAAGGGAGGATGTACTGGTGAGAACAGGGGTCGACAGAGAACGTCGCCAAAGGCTTTGTTTGCTTCGGAAAAAAAACAAGCTCTTGCTTTGTGTTTGGGTTGAAGTTTAGTTGCAAAGCACACGTGAACGATCCGAAAAAAAAACTGGGGTGCGCTTTCACCTATCCTTTTGGCAAGCGCGCCCGCTCGAAGGTGGCATCGTTTGGACGAGGTGACAGCCAGTGAGAAGAGGGGGCGATCGGCTGCTGGACCTGCGAATTCGGGTTCGTATTCATACAGAGATTGTTGCTGAACCGAATTTCTTTCTCGCACGTAAAATGCGCAAGGGGATACACATGAAGGAATATATCCCTACCGAAAAGATTAGCCGCTCAAGTTGCCGGGACGTTGCGCATGAACGCGCGCGCACGATGCCCTCTTGGAGACCCCTTGTCTATACCGCTCGTACGCGCCTTTGCCTACCTCACCTAACTGTTGCTCATGGCAAGAGCGGTCGTTTCGGATCCGATTTATAGTGCCCAACATTGACTACGGGCGCCCGCTCTACCTGTGGCATGGACGTCATAAAAAAAGCTCAGCGGGGGAGCAAGTAATACACGAAATATCTTTGAGATACAAAGGGGCACACACGTGGTTTTGCTTTGCATTGTATTCGGGACGTTTTGTTGTGATGATTCCGAGGTTTTGCGACGTCGCTGGAGTCACCATTTTTTGTTGCTGCCCTCACCGCCACCACGGCCTCCCACCTTTGAGCCGCTTCTCCTACGATGGGGACATTCACCGCCGCCCCTGCTGTCGACAATATTTTCCCGCCGCACGTGGCGCTCGTGCTGGCGCTGGTGCGAGCCGGGCGGTGTTTCCGACCACCACGACCGACGACACGTCGTTATTTTTTTCTTGCAGCAAACATCAAGCACCTCTCTATCGCTGCTTTGTCTGGTATCTATATGTATGTTACAGATCAAGCGATGTTCGGACCATTTACAACGATGATTCCGTCCACGTACTTGTACTCATATATGGGAAGAAGACGTGCCCATTTTTCTTTCGTGAGGTAAATATGTACGTATCCAACCCCGAGAGTGGTCAACCTTTGTTTGGCGTGGAACATTGCAGGTCCCGCAGTAAAGTAGTCGATATGTTGGCTTCACCATCGCGCTGCCTGTTTGCTCCGCGTCGACATCACACAGATACTGCTACCCCTCGACACATCAACAATGCCGACGGCGGCGGCGGATACACAACCACAACAGTAGTAATGGTTGAAAGTCAGTTCCCACCGCAGTAGTCTAGTGGTTGGTTTGAGTTCGCGTCCCTTTGCTGTAGCACAGAGAGAAAGAGGCCCTGTCACCTCTCCGTGCAATGCACACAGCAGAGACAGGGGTACGTGCGACCGACAGACCTATGCCGTCGAAAACAAACTGTGATGGGCGCCAGCAGCTACAAAGGCAGCCAAAACGAAAAGTTTGAAAATTGTGCCCTAAATATCAGCAACAGCAGCTTGTTTTTTCGCGGGGTGCTCTTGTTTATTTTTCTTTACATACGTGTGGATGAAGCGCGCCTGTGCATACGAAAGGTCGCCTTTTCCCGAAGCTCGTGCCTTTCGTTCACCGCGCGCTTCGTTAGTTGCTGGTACGGTCGCTTTATATCCTCTCGTTTTCTCCAAAAGATGTCTAGGTTCAATGCCAACACAATGAATCCGCTCCTGTTGAGAGAGCGAGAGAACTCTCGCACGATTACTGCAAGAGGACAAGAATCCGTGAAATTCTTTTCCGCGCGCCGTCGCTGACGACACTGCTCTATAAGTAGTACTCTCACTTTTTTGTTGCGTCGCAGCCGGCAAGTGATTGTCACTCACATCTTGAATGTCGCATGGTGTCATCGTCTTCGGCATATCCTGAATCTCCCCCGTCTCTGGTTCGTTTTGGAAAACGCATGTTTGCATGGCATCACGTAAAGACTACGCCTTCGTGTTGCACGGGTTAGTTTTCTACTCGCTTCCTCGCGGTTGACACATACAATTACTTCCGTTTATGCGCAAGACTGTTTGGTGCTGCTACGTGCTGTCGATGCCGTCCATGTACTGGTACAAGAACAAAGGCACGCACACAGGCCTCCTTGTCATTGGTCGTAGTAGTTACTTCATCTCAAGACGTCGTAGTTTTTTTTAAGTCGATTCCAAACAACAAAGAATCGCAAACACACACACAGTGTGTCTTTTCATTGGTCAGCCGGTTAGCGCGGTCGATGCTAATAATAAAAGCACACACACACGAAAAAGCAACCGCCGCTTGCTGATGTTGAGTCGAACGCTCCGAATACCCCGAAATCGAAGATGAACAATCCCTGTTTCTTTAGACCAACCAGACGTCCACAGTCACCATTTACATTTTATTATTAGACCATTTGCGCACCCTGAAATGGTGATAATCCACCCGGGTATACCCGTTTCTGGTTACTTCTCTTTTATTTATCCTGACGACCATCCCCCGCCCTCGGCTGTTACACACACGCCTGACGTCATCTTCAACCAATCAAACCGCAGGTGGAACGACGTGACCGGGCAGTGGACCTACCAGCTCTACAGCTCCGCCCAGCAGCAGCAGCAGCAGCAGGGGCAGGGTTACGTCCAGCAGCAGCAGCAGCAGCAGCAGCATCTCCTACAGCAACAGCAAACACAGCAGATGATGCCTCAGATGCACCACCAGATGTCCTACCCCCAGCAGCAGCACTCGGCCGCTCACCTCTACAACACCAGCAGCCACAGCCTCACCCGCAGCGCGAGCATGTCGGCCCTCGGCGGGGCGTCGCCCCAGATGTACATGGCCCAGCACGAGCCGTGGGGCCTCGTCTCCCCGTCCACCTCCACCGCGATGAACCACGGGGCCTCCGCTGCCGCCGCCTCGGCGGTTGGCGGCTTCGGTCTGGGCTGGGCCAGCGGCCTCAGCAGCCGCGGCAGCGGTCTTAGCAGCCGCGGCAGCGCCTCCTCCGCCAGCGCCGGCGGCAGCGGCACTCGCATGTCATTCTTCGGGCTGGACGACGAAGACGACGATGACGAAGAGTATGAGCAGCTGCAAGGAGCGGCCGCCGGGTCCGCGTGGGACAAGTTCTTCGACGGGCAGGGTCGTCCCGTGTGGATCCACTCCAGGACCGGCGCTCGCACCACGATTGACCCCGAAAGGACAGGCCTGTTATAAGACGGAGAGAGCGAGAGAACCAAGCCAGGTGGAGGAGGAGATTGTTGACCGTGCAATCCTCCCTCCCTCCCCCCGGTCAGCCAGAGAACTAGCGCACGTGTGTAAGTAGGCGTTGAGTTCGAGACCGGGTGAAGCCAAAAACTGCCTTCCACCTTTGGCTTGTACCTCATGGGGGCGGAGGGTAGTCTGTTGCATCCAAGTGGGACGTCGGAGTTGGCGGCGACTTCGGAGCGCTTATCTGCTTGTCTCTGGTTCAGTTGTGGCTACTTTCCCCTTATAGTCGACCGGCCGACTCAAGTAGGGTCAGTGACACGAACGGCTGCAGAGCTCTTTGTTTTGCGTGCATTTCATGCTAGAGATTCACGAAGTTGCAGAGGAAGGAACACCCACAACACTGTACAAATTTTACGAAAAGCAAGAAAACAAAAAAAAAACGGTTGTTTGTGGGCTGTTTTTGACTAAAAGACGGTCGGCCGAGAGAGAAAGCAACCCGGTAGATGTAGTATCTATCCCTTGTGTTTCTTCCCCGCCGTGCGTTCCGCTCTTTTGGATCAGAGCGCGAGGGCGGGGCGGGGGGNGGGGGGGAGGGAGAGTTTGGGGTTGCAC